GGGACTAAACACAGTCTGTCCTCTCCTTCCGACATCTGCAAAGCACAACATCGCAGGTGCTGTTGGTGAGACAGTCCTCTGCTCCTCCAGCTTTTATAGGTTTGCCAGCAGAAAAGTCTCTGTCTCTGCTTTTTAAAGATTAGGACCGAATATGATGTTCTCATCCAAAGAATGTAAGGAAAAAGTAAATAGGAAGCAGTATTGTTGTAGCTTGATTTAACTCTGCTGGATAGAGCTGTTGCCTTTGCTGTAAGTATCTGAGACAGATAATCAGACTCCTTTATGGAAATGGATAATTAAAATGATGGTTATCTGAGGCCAAAACAAGAGGACTCGTGACTCACTTCAGGAACAGGAAGGAGCAGGCGGAGGAGCTTTAAGACACTGTTCAGGTGATGCTCTGACCGATAGCAGCTTGGATGCAGGCACGGCAAAACTTCAGGTCAGGAAAGGATGGAGGAGCTCACACAGCCTGGCCAAGGTCGTGCACAGCCTTTGGGAAAGGTACCGGAGCTTCTGGGCTGCACCAAAAAGTACAGGGAGCAGGTGCAGGGCAGGCATCTCCCATCTGCTACTCCTGCAGCCAGCAGCCTGTAAATTCTCACTGAAATTAAGCCTGTAGCAGACTAGCGTTTAGCTAACTCACCCATTCTTCTCCTAATGGGAATACTTTGCAGGTCCCTGAAGAGCAGTCAGCTACTTAAATCAAGAGAGGTAAAGTATTATGGAGCTAAACCTTTGAAAGCGAAATAGCAAAAGGTTCCTCACACTTACTGAGACAACTCCAGGAGGAGGAGGTCACCAAGGCTGATAAAAAAAAAAAAATAAAGAGATCTCCCCCAGAAGGCCTGTGGCACAGTCACACATGGTTGCATAGACCTGCTACGAACAGAGAAAACAAATTCAACAAACTTTGGTACAAGTGGAAACTGAGAGGAACTGTGAGTAGTAACCTCAGGGCTTAGCCTTAGTTGTAGGCTTTCCTCCCTTCATTTGGCCAGGAAACTGGAAACTTGGATTTTTATTCACTCTGCTACTGTGCCTGTTTCCAGAAGAGGGAGCCAAGTCATGGTAAAATGCAGCCAGAAATCAAAACCATTGTTCAATAGGTTATGTCGGGTGTATATTAACTTTTTTTACTTTTTTTTTCATTTTTTAAAATAGTGTATACATTTAGAGTTAGGTAGGAGGAGATGAATGCTGATGTAACTACAGAAGTGAAACACATGTAGTAAGCTCAGAAAAGAACTGAAGAGGTCTTGGGCATGGTGGAGCAATCCCAGATACAGAACACGTATGAACTCTTGTCCGTGTATGACTTTACACTGTGTTAAGTTTCACCGCTGTGGGATGCAAGCACGTTCAACACAGACACTGCAACACTGGCTAACTTACTAAAATTATGATTCAATTTGGAAATTAAGCATGTTGCACAGAGTTTTCTTTATTTGTTGTGCTCTTCAGTTCCTCTCCTTGTACCGCTCAGCATCACCTCTTCAATGAATAGCTTCTTTGACTAATTTGCTTCTCACATAAGCAGTTAGTTTCACCGTCAAAAACAGCTGGTTAAAAAAACTGTTTGAGTGTAACGTCCATCACAGGCACATAAATAAGTTTAAAAAGTAAAAACACAGATGCCATTCCTGCATGATTTTCTAGAAGCAAACCTCCCACTGAGCTGATTAAACGGCAAATAGAATCAGTTCAGAAGACAGGTGATGACTACAGAAAGTAATCTCAGGCAAAATCTCCTCTGCTTTTTCCAGTGTACAGCTTAATCTGTCGAAAGATTAAACCAAACAAAAGATTAGTGGGTTAATATTTGAGCTGACATTTACTATCACTGAAGTTTATCCAGACAATGGTTGTATTATCCGAAGATTTTTTTCATTTTGAAGTTAAGCACAGATCAAGATCAAATCCTGAAGGGGTGTGAAAGGAGAAGCAGGCACACATCCCATGAAGGACAATCGTTGTCTCCTGAAAGGACAGTCCCACTGGAGCTCGAAAGCTCCAGTTAACCAAGAGCAGTTTCAGTGTGACTTGTCCACAGTCTGAAGAAAACACATGTGGTTTCTAGTGCTAAACAATGCAACTATGCAAAACTGCTGCAGAAAGAAACATGCTGAAAACCAAGCAAATGATCAGAGTTGACAAATTGAGACTGCTCTTGAGTGAACAGCAACTCCCATGCAGAAATTGGTGCAGGTGGGTGTAAAGGAGCAGCAGCGTGACAGAGAACGCACGGGGCTTTCTGGTTCCCAGGTGCCTCATGGTACCAGCCTGCAGCTCACCAGCACTTTGGCCAATCTCATCCTTAGTGAAGGCAGGACAGGAGAGGAAAAGAATAAAAAGTTTCTAGCACCCAGATGTGTCCACTGAGAAATACCCATCCTTTTGAGAGTGCTGTTCATAAGCTTTGTGTTTTGTTTCTGTGCAACGACGTAAAGCTGAGGAGTAGCGTTGGGGACACCGTTGCTCGTGCAACAGCTGTAAACCCTACTCATCTCTTTTTGTTAAGAACATCAAATCAGAAACAAATACTGACCAGTGACATTGCTTCTGGGTGGGAGAGAGATCTACAGAGCAGCTCAGAACCCATCCCAACTTGCTGTGGCCTAAAGGAAGATTTAGGGAAAAGCACCATTCCATATCCTTTTACATTCTTTGAGGTAAGGATCTCAAGGATGCTTTCGGCTGCTGTCGACAGCAAGAGGCCCCGTTACCCGTGAAGAGAAGACACACAGGGATCACGCTCCAACTCAATTTAATAAGCTTTGTAACGAACTTGGACAGAAAGTGGTTTGAAATAAGTCGAGCAACACTCATCTACTAGTCAAGGATTTTTTTTAAAGTAATGCTTTTAAGCTTATACTCAAGCATACAAAGCATAAATTGTACAAATTAAAAACAATAAAATCATCCTAGAATGTCATGGCTTCCCCTATATGTACAAGGAGTGGAAAGGAGACGGAATTATTTCCAGGTATTTTCACGTCTTAAATGCTACATAAGTGCTCTCCACATTCATTCCGATTTTTCTTTTCATGGGGGTGGAAGGAGCTGCAAGTGTTTCAATGAAATCATCCTAGCGAGAGAGAGGTACTTCACCTGCTTTCGAGCTGTATGTTTGCCTCTTTGAAAGCCTTGAGGAAACGCTTTACTTAAAATTCTGCTGGCAGTTTCTGTGCAGCAGCCTCTGTTTTTCCAGCTATATCACGTTAAACAGCTCAGTAAGTATTTCTCAGAAAGTACCAGCAGTACATCACCTTCACGGAAACCTTCTATCCCCACCCTTCACAAATGACTCCATTGTACAACAGCAGCAGCCAGAGTTCAGCTGAGGTTTGACAGGCAGAAAAGAAACGTGGCGGCAGCGAAGAGGACAGTTGTTAGGGAGGTGACAGGTTTTGGAAAAGGAGAGGGATGTGCAGCCTAATCAAAACACAAGTGATACACAGCCTTTCTGCAGAGGCACACATGACAGGATAGTTTACAACCCAACTTCTTCATGTCCATAGCATTAATGAAACAAATCTTAATTGCTTCCAACCCAGGAAAGGTTGGGAGAGGAACGAGTGTAGTGTACCATGTTTAACTACCAGATTTGTTTGCCACCGTTGAGTTTGGAACAAATCTTCTTACAAAAGTTATCTTCATATTGTTCTAAATTAAGTGGAACGAAATATGTATTTTTACACTAAAGCAAACTGATCAAAGTGGCATTTAATGATGCTTGTTAAAGTGGTTATCTAACAAAAATGGGTTAACAAAGTCCCACTCATTAGTAGTCACCAAATAAGACATTTCTCATGCATATGACAAAAGTTCATTCGGGTACTGAGAGGTCTGTTTACTGTGTACAATATTTCCATAAATTATAATATGTTTCACAGCCCCTACCGTTCAAGAATATTTCAAACAGATTATATATTATATTTGTATATGCAAACTATTTTATATACACTAATATAAAGATCCTTAGAAGTACCATTATCACTACCTTTATGCTTTCTCTAAAATGCATAGCTTTCGAATATTTTCTTGCAGTTACCAAAAACTTTACAGATTAAAGCTGCTTATCAATGTGGCATGTTCATAAAAACAAAGTGAAATAGTTCTATACTAATTTTATATTAAACCTCTTAAAAAACACGTTTATTTTTTAATGGAAAAAAAAAAAGCTAGTGAAAATTCAAGTAATCTATGCTCAATCTTTGCCCAAATACTATCTGAAATTAATGTAGCGTTCTAGAAGCACAGTGAACTTCTCAACCAGGACTGAATACTGCATTTCTCACGGAGAAAAATGCTAGTCATGCCACAAAAACACACCGCTTTCCACTTCATCCGGGAGAAGCTTTAGATGAGATTCAACAACACAAGTGTCAGAACAGAGGAAAAGCTGATCAGTTACGTACAAAGAAATTAGAGCTATTCCAGTTTTGTTTCTGCAGTTTGTTATTAAACAAAGTTACATTAACCATACAGTTTCTCGCAAACTAAAAGTTATACATGGTTTTCAGACATCAACCGACTGGAAAAATTAAAAAAAAAAATTAAAGAAAAACCAAAACCAAAACAAAACCCACAAAACAAACCAAAAAAAAACCACCCACAACTGTTAAAAGTCTGGTGTTAGCACAACCAGCCTGGGTGAAGGAAAGCCAGACGGCTGTGGTAGGTGGGGGGTGCTGACAGCTTCTTTGTTGTGTACAAACTTCAAGACCTCCATACCACAAACGCCTCGAAGATCAGTAATAAAGGGGAACAAATCCTTTTGTTACAGCCATCATCTAGCTTAACCTGGGCGCTCTGCATCTCTAACAGCTGCTTAACACACAACCCCCCCCCCCCCCAAAAAAAAAAAAACAAACAGCTACACAAGTAAACAGTGTTCACAGTAATGCAATCAGTAACAGGTTTGGTTAGTTTCTGTAAGACGGGTGTATCTGCAAAGCTTTATACAGTTTAATGCATAAGTATTCCAGTAAAATTAAGTGGAAACTAGGTTTCATTCTACAGGGTAATATCTACCATACAAGGCTAGGTTATGTACAGTATGGGACTGGTGTGACAACTGCCAGTGCCTCATGATGTTACGCCATTTCGCCCATCAGCTCGGTCTTTGTTCAGCAAATCTGTAATAACTTGATATATGGACCTAAAAATCCAGAGGTTGATTTGGCAAGATTAGTGCTTCCTACCACTGGACACAGACCAGTGTACAGTGCTGCAAAATTCAGTTGACCAGAACATCCCATACCCAGAAGATCATCATTTGTTGACTTGAAAGTCTGGACTTCACATGTCAAACATGAGAACTATAATCCTAACTGGAGTGGGGACAGTCAGTAAACAAATACAGGTGAAGATGAACTGCATCTCTTCAGAAAGGTATGGAAGAATTGAGAAAAAAAAAAGGGAAATTTCTGGGTTTAGACAGCCTTGCTCTGCTCTGCTGGGCTCAAGGCATAAAAACAGCCCAAGTAGCTCTAAAACTACGATTCTTATTCAGCAAGCATAAAGGCAGATCCTGCACAAGATGATGATGCATCAGAGGCTTCAACGAGCATCTCTCCCCTTCACTTAATTTCCTAACACAAGCATCCCTTCCAGCTTCCAAACACCTAATGGCCTTCAAAGCTTTATCAGAATCACTGCAGTGCCTACAGCTGCAGATTTAATACAGGGGGGAAAGGCCCCCGTGAACAAAAACCCTCAAATGCCTCTGGGGGCCGTTTTGGTCATTTGTGAAAATCAAGAAAAAAAACCCTTATTTCCAACAATACTCCTCCTGAAAAGATGGGTCACTGATCCATTATGAACATAGCTCTCACCATACAAAGCACCAAAAAGTCAGAAACAAGGGAAAAAAAAAAAGTCTTTAAATCCTTAAATTATGATTTACAAGTTTGTACACTATTTCCTAAGCAAAAGGTTGACCTTACTGCAAAGTTTATAGATGAAAACTCAATCAGTTACTTTTAAGGGGAATGTATATCTGGCTATAACTTAAAGGTAGAAAATATTCACTGTTCTATATACACATTTCAAACAGGAGACAGTTAAATTAACTGAATAGTTGCCAATATAACTCCCTATCAACTCGCTGGCCACTAAACTAGGCATCAGTAGCCAATTAGAAAGCTTGAGTTCTGTGTTTTTAAAAATGCTATTTTCCTGTCCTGTTTAATTGTTTTTTTAAAAATGTATTATAGTGCATAGCCTAAGTCAGACTTTCAAAGAGATACAGCGCCTTTCAATGCAGTTTTTGCAGCATTTAAAAGGGACTTTTCTCCCTTCAAATTAGATGTTCATTGAAAAATCTGGATTGAGTGCTGTACTGTAGTAAAAATATTTCAGTCACAGACTGATATAAATGTATACTGTGCAGTACTAAGATTGTTTGATGTCCATCTGCACACGTTTTACTTGGGTTCTTCGATCGTCCCCTTGCTGAGGTCTGTCATTTTGGGATATTTCACTTTCTTCTGGTCCAGCTCATTCTGAGCCCACAGTAGTAGTTTCAGCAATTTTGCCAACTTGGGTGTTGATTCACGATTTTCATAGTCTAGAACAGCTTGATTAACCTCACTCCATACCTGGAAAAGAAATACTGGAGTTCAGTAATAGTTTGCCTACGATGAACACTGCTAATGTCACATAGACTTTGAAAGGATCACACCTAGTGTGCTAATTCCTCAAAACATGGTCCACAGACCATGAGCCTGGAGAAAACAAGGAAGAGAGCCAAGTAGCTGAATATATTCACATCAGTTTTCTGATTGTTGCTTAAGAAATACTCCTCTTCTTTTGCATACCATTACATGCAGTTTTTCTAAACATTTGAAAAACATTTGGACGTTATTTTCACCACATATGAATAAGAGACACAATTTCCTTCTGAGGAAGGACTACCTTCTGTCGCTGCATCATGTTAAGCAAGTCTCCAAATGGTGATTCTTCGGGATTATCGAAGGCAAGCAAAGCCAGCGTGCGCTCCATCTCCGTCAGGCACTCCCTGCTCTCCTCGCCTTGTTCTGCTAACTGGGTCTGAGCAAACTCCAGAGCTGCTTCTGTCTCACGCTGCCGAATCAGTTCAATCAAATGCTGCTGCTGTGTACGAAACACACGGCAATATCAGCTAAACAAATTAGCAAACCTTCAGCAGTTCAAGGCTGTAATCTTCAGACGTTAGTAGGTAATTTGAGACAAACACTAATCCATAATTTGACAGTTTGAGGTCAATTCTTCTCAATGTGAGAGACAAGGAGCAGCAGAATTGTCTACAAAATCTACTGAAAAAGGTAACCTGACGCTTTTGAGTAACACATTTTGCAAAGATGTGTTACCAAAAGAACAACTCAAAATTCAGACTACCAGTAATTGGAAGTTGGTAAGTCACAGGCCACTGCTGCTTCTGTAAGTTTTCATGTTGTTAATCATACATGATGGTTGGTGCTCCATGCCACAAAGTTTCCCGTTGCTACAAAATGATGCCAAGAACAAATACTTGAAATTGCACCCACATTCAGTCACAAACCTCCCACCATACTTGTAAAATCTGCACCACTTTCTCCAGTCTCTCAGCAACCTCTAAAACAAAGTCTGCCACCTGTCCTTACCTGCAAATGAAAGTACAGATATCTGTTGGTATCGAGCAATTCTGGATGGAGACTGTTTATTAACGCAATGGCTTCTTGGATCTGTCCTTTCAAAATCATTTCTCGAATTTTTATTCTTTCATCGAGAGTCTCTAAATCAACACTGGGTTCAATTCCAGACTCCATTCGAAACTTCTCTGCTGCTTCTTTAAAGCCCTCTGAAATAGAAGCATTTTACCTGTATTTTATGAAGCACTTGGAAAAAATATCAGCTTAAATTAAAAGACTGGAGTATTGCTTGTGGATTTTGAAGGTTTAAAAACTAGATCTGAACTTCTGAAAAATTAGTATCTATCTAAGTAGGCATTTATCCAACAGGCATCTCACAGTACATGCTTAACTCATTCTTAACTCAAGTGCCCTCCTTCTCTGAGGATGCATGCAACTTGTAGTGCAATAACTCTTAACCTGAAAGCTTGTTTTATACTTAGAGCAGTGAACTTATCCAAAATGAGATTTTCGAAATCTCGGTGGTTTGGCTTCTCCTGCCAGCCCCCAAACCTGTTCACACAGACCTAGCAGTTTTACTGAGAAGAAAGAGAAAATTAATTTTGCTTTCTCATACTAACACTGTAATTTTTTTTTTTAAGTTATAACAGCTATTTTAAATCCTAAGTCATGCTTTCGTATACACAAAAATTACGCCACTAAGATGATGCTCTTCCTTCATCCCAGAGGCTTCACCTACACACCGGTGTAAACAGGGGTGTAGATCCGGTGCAAACGCCTCCACCCTAACACAGCTTACTGCGATGGCATGCACCATAATTGCTAGGGACAACTTCCGAGGGGTTTTGATTGTTCTAAGTACAAACTTGGGCCATATGCTGAAAGGGTTAATATTTCTGGTCTCAAACTATTTTGACACCAGTGCCCTTTTACAGTTTGTCTTTCTAGCCAGTTCAAGTTTGCTTCTGATAGTTGCTCTGTGCAGCTTTCAGTGCTGTTTAACAACTGCAACACACCTTCAGCTCTGTCTTAATGGCACAAAAAAAAGACACTGTACAGAAGCAGGTCATGTTTGTCAACACCATTCCACAATACACTTTCTTTTCTATATCCTTTACCAGGAGAGTTAAGGTTAATAAACGTCACTTCCATGGCACGATAACCGCTCCATCTCTCAATCTTAGTCAGCTCCCACTCAAGGGAGCAGCTGGACATTGCTAAAAGAAGCCAACAGCCATCACTAAGTCCTCAAAGTCCTTAATTTCACTCCACCTAGCAGCATATTCTAGCCAAAACTGTCTCGATAAAACAAGTATTTCACAGCCTCCTGGCATTACTGCTCGTTTTTACCTGTAACAAGGTAGTTCATGATAAGGCGGTTCATGTCTGCTCTCTGGATATGCAAGTTATTAAGTTTTTCCATCCATTCATCTTTTGTGATTTCATCAGGTTTTTCTGCATAACTCATCCTGGACTCTTACTACAAGGAAAGAAAAGCATCTCATTTAACATGATTCGAGAAGAAGTAAGTTTAATATGTATAAGCACTGTGTTACTGCTATCTTTATATCTTTTTTTACGAGATCTTTTAAATTAATAATCCAAAAGAGATCCTTTTATCTCAAACCACAATTTTACATTTTTCTCCTCCTTGCTGCTGCACTCTTTCACATCTACCAGCCAGCTCACACAGCTGCTTTCATCACTCGTCACAACCAAAAATTCAAATACCATCTTCTTGTACTTACTCTTAAATCCACTCCAAATAAATCTTGTTTACAAGTTCTACAGGACACACAGCACCACGGTGTGAGACAAGTGAATCAAAGAGTTTGACACCTAGCCAGAAAAACCGGAACAAACCTTTAAAGCAAAGCCTGTGCAAACTGTATTTACTTTAAAGTTTTCACCACAACTTAGACTGGACAGCTACATATTTGTACAGCTCCAAAACTGTACGTGACAGGTTATCCAGTGCACAACTAACAGTCTTGGAGTAGCTCAGCCTGGCTGCCCTCAAAAGCGCTCCTGTCAACACTACTGGAATATCACCTCCT